GCTTATATTTGAAATTAAATTTTCATGGTTAATGAGTTACAACTGTCATACATTGAATATGCCATTTTGATTGGTAAATTTAGTTTATAATTTAAAAGGAATGTAGGATTGTGCAGAATTGATTAAAAAATGACATACATTTTAATGAAAAGAAATTACTAGAGTGAATTACAGAAATCATACCTACTCCTTAACTCAGGTTTGTTATATGTGTCTCCCTCTGTATAAACCTCTATCCTGTGTTTATAACTGCTTTTGAAAGCATAGACGTTTTGTCAGCGGGTAGAATTTTATCTCAGCAATTCATGAGAGCATTTCTACATTTCACTGGTAATTCCAACCCTAAAACACATTCACACTCATGTATGAATGGTGGAAGCTGATTGCCAAGGGAGCACTTACACCTAAAGGAAAGGGAATGTCAGAAAGTTCACTAGTTTCTTAGAATATATTTTTATCCCTTTCAGTTGAGCACAGTTCCTCGCACTGGGTAGCATACTGCAGATTGACATCAGTGAGAAAAGACCTAGGTTATAAGGCAGCAACAATCTCAAAATCCCTGTGAATTCAGACAATATGATCTGCCCCAAGTCTGCTTCTCATCCATTCCCTTCAGAGCCCAGCCTGATGGAGCAGCTGCCATTGTCATGGGAGGCAGGAGAGGGGAGGAGGTGGCAGTGAAGGGGAGCCAGGCAAATCTCACACTGGCTTTTAATACGTTTATCGAATGACATGTGTCACTTCAGCTTATGTTTTATTGGCCAGAGCAAGTCACAAGGCCACTATGCTCAAATGGCTGAAGAAGGATGGAGAACAGCACCCATGAGTGCCGTGACAGCTGCTGCCGTGGTTTAGACTGTGCAGCTCTCCTGACTGCCAAGAGTCAGTGAAAAGGGAGGGACTTCAGTAGAAGTCTGCAGACTGGAATCAGACTTCTGCTAGAAAAAGCCTACTGTGACACAGGGTGGTAAGGACGGACACCAGTGGCCTGGGATAGGAATAAACGTCTTCACTAAATTGTCAAGTAAAAAGCTTCCTCTGTAGCACTTGCTTACAAAGTGCTGCTTCTCCAACAGATACTTTCTACTCAGTAGGCTTCTCTCATGGCTCTCCAAACTTTAAGCAGTAGGTTGAAAAACAGATAATAGACTAGCCTATAAAAAAGGAATGTTTGTCACCACTGCTGGGGGTCTGCAGTGGGGGCTACTCCTTGCTCTTTGGCAGCCACCTGCTGTGCTGATTGAACATGGAGGACGTGGTGCTTTTCCTACCTCACTTTCTCTTTATGCGCTAGGTCAGTCCCTTCTCATTTCACAAAAGCTTAATGAAGGAGATGAGGTAATGTGTTATATTTTGATTTATGTTGAAACACTTTATAATTCACAGTGTCTGTTAAAACCAGTACTTCTTATCCTTTTTATTGCCTGAATCATATTGATGTGGATTTTTAATACAGATTTTTGCCAGTATGTGTTTTCAACAGAAGTTATTTTTTCCAGGAATATTCTTGCATATTCTTTTTCTTTGAAATGTTGATATCCTTTAGAAGGATTAGGTAGTTGTAGCAAGGAATTTAAAATTTAATAGGACTAACAGAAAATGCCTCAGCATTATGATAATTGACCACGTGGTAAGTGCATTCATTAAGTGAATCAGCAAATGCTTATTGGATACCTGCTTTGAGGCACTACAGTTGGTGCTACAGAAACGACAAGCAAAAGATACACAGTCACCACTGACAAATGCTAATTCAAATATTAATTTATCAGCAGCTCTATAAAGTAGGGGTAAGTATTGTTTGTATCCTCATTTTATGAAGGAAGAAATAGAGACACAGAGTTAAGTAAGTTGGTAACCACAGGACATGGGTAGTAGCAGACCCAGGCTCAGACTCGGGTAGTCTGTGCCCAGATACTGGTAGCAGCTAAATAGTAGGGCTTATAAGCATAGTAGGTGGATATCAGCTACGGTCTCACTCATGAGTCATCCATAATAATATGATAAAATGATAATTGAAGGAATAGACAGGGATGGGGTTGTCTAGGGCATGATAGACTAATAAGAACCTGAGCAGTAGTGAGAAAGAGCTTGAAAAGAGATGATCTGAAAAGCAGGAGGAAAGACAGTAGGATGTGATATCACAGAAATGAAAAGAAAATAGTATTAATAATTTGGAGAATGAAATATTCAGTTTTCAGCAGTTGTCGAATGCTGTTGTGTTGCTAGGGCAAGTTGCATAAGGAGCCTCTTTAGTATCTTAAAGACACACCAATATGGAAGTCATGGATGACGTCACTGAGAGTACTTTGGGTAGAGTAAGAGGATAAAATCCAAACTGTTTGAAGAGGAGAAGGTGGTGAGGAAATGAAGATCAGTTCTAGGTCTTTACCAGGTAGGGGAAGGTGGGATTCTGAAGACAGATGGCCTTAGGGAGGGGTCATTCTTACATTGCAATATGAAAAAGCAGAGGGGAGGGGAGGTACATGTCACAACCGTGGTAGATTTAGTGGCAGAGAAGTGGCATAATTACCTCCTGATGGCCCTTGTTAACTGTATGAAGAAGTATAAGACTGGGACCGAGCTGAGGCTGTGGGGCATCTGATTTGCCTGTGTATAATTTAACACTATCATTCTAGAGAGGGTTGACTAGAGAAATGGGGTAAAGGTGGTTGTTCTACCAGTACTCAGCAGTTCAGGTAGAGACATGGAGACAATGGTTAATTAGTTGGATTTAGTCAAGCTTTGGTAGCCAGATATCACAGAAAGAAAGACAAGGGATTTTAAGGTATTGGCAAAACGTCTTGAAATTGTAGGCCATGAAATCCAAGATGGGTACCACATAGTAGTGAGGAAAAAGTAGGAGAGTAGTGGTTAGAGAGAAAGTAGACTGGTTCATTTCCCTGAAGAACAGTTGAAGAATAGAAAATGACTGGAAGCTGCTCTTGACCTTAAGATTATATGGTGGAAGCCAGGCCCAGTGGCTCACACCTGTAATCCCGTACTCTAGGAGGCCAAGGCAGGTGGATTGCCTGAGATCAGGAGTTCCAGACCAGTCTGAGCAAGAGCAAGACCCCATCTCTAAAAATAGCCAGGCATTA